TCCCTGCTCCTGCTGGATGATGCACATGACCTCTTGCTGCCCCTGCGCCTCCAGCTTCTTCACAAAGAAAAGCAGCTCCCACCACTCGGCACGGCTCAGGGCCTCTGCAGCCTTGGTCGACTGCTCCCCCAGGTAAGGCAGGGAGTACAGCCCCCCAGAGGGCTTGCAGAAAAACGGCTGTGCAACTGCAGGAAGACAGAGCAAAGTCAGCTCTGCCCATTCCACCATCCTCTGCTGCGCGCCCCACGTTCCCCAGAGAAAGAGCTCTCTCCGCTGTCCCACAGACTGCTGTGGGAAAGGCAGGTGACAGCAGGGCAGCCAGAGAGGGGGAACGAGCTAGAGGAGACCCTAGAAGCTGTAGAGATGGGCATTACCATCATCACTTGAACCTCTTTAGGATGTAGAACAAAAACTCTCAAAATGGGCACCTCTAGCTCACTGCTCCCCCAGCCTGCTCCCACAGTGCCTGCACCGGGCAAGGCGACGCACGCAGACACCCGGCACCAGCAGAACCTGCAGTGCCAGCGTGCAGCTGCAGAAGGGCTGGGGAGCAAAGCTGCGTGCCCAGCTGATGGACTGCTCACCTGCTGCCAGTCTGCAGTTGCGTGTCAGGGTGGACACCTTCTCCTGGCCCCCACGCTCCTCTTGCCCTGAGGAGCCAATGATCTCCACCATGTGCCAGTGAACCCAGTACGTACAGCCCAGGGCTTGCCAGTACACCTGAGGAGGAGAGCGCGACGCACACCCGGCTGAGGGAAGGCAGGTCCAACCCCGCTGCTCCCACACGTGGCTGCGTGCTCCCTGCACACAGCGCAGCGGGCAGAGCTGACAGCCCGAGCCGGCCCCGCAGAGGGTACCTGCACGGGCGGCGTGCCGTCGTTGCTCTGCCGGAAGTCGCCCTCGTCGCCCGCGCTGACCTGCTCGTAGTCCTCCAGCATGCGCACCCGCATGCCCCGCACCAGCCGCGCCTGCACGTACTCCACGTAGCTGCTGCGGCTCGGGAAGGCCGAGCGCGTCCTGAAGACGACGGGCTCCTTGGGTGCGGGAGCGGGGGCTGCTTGAGCAGCGCTGCAGGATGCAGCCCTGTGCTGGAAGATGGAGCGGGCGGCGCGAGGCTGCGGCTCCTGCTGGGGCGGCAGCTCTGCCGTGTGGCTGCGGCCCCAGCCCATCACGTGCACCAGCTCCGAGATGAGGTTTGCCATGGCCATGCTGAACTCAAACTCCTGCTGCACACGGCTCTTCTCCTCAGTGAGCGGGCTGGGCACAGCGCTGGCCTGCTGCTCCCCTCCCTGCTCCACATCACCGCCGAGCTGGTCCATGAGAGAAGTGACGCACAGGTAGCGCTTCACCAGCACAAACAGCAGCTTCCCAGGGATCTGCAACAAGCACGGCTCTCAGACTCTAACCGTGACAGCTCTGGACCAGCAGGCAGCAACAGAGACCTCTCAGTCCACCCTCATATCCCTGCTCAGATACTCCATGGATGAGCCCTCCAACACCCCTCAGCTTCAAGCCAGACCCAGATGCTGTGTCAGCTCTCCCAGTACCCAGTCCTGCTCAGCAGCCCCAGCGCTGGCAGGGCTGCTCCTACCTGGGGAAGGTGAATCCCCTCAAAGGACATGCACTGTTCTTCAGAGGATATTGTGTCAGCAAACAGCTCCAACAAGGTGTAGCGACTGTCAAAGTCCATGCGCTGCTCAATGCCATCCTGCTGGCTCAGGGACAGCAGGACATAGGCCCAGCTCCCTGTAACAATAGAAACTTTCTAGGCTCCCTAAAGATAACCCCTACAAAAGGGCTGGCACCCCTCAGCTGACCAGCAGCACCTCCTCAGGGACAATGAGCAGCAGCAGCCCTCACCTGCATCATGCGAAGCCAGGGCCCTCAGCATCTTGCCAGCACTGTGGCGGATTTGCTTGTCCTTGTGGCACAGCATCTTCATCAGCAAGTCAAGGGCTCCCGTCTCCTTGAAGGCACCCACCAGCGAGCCAATGCTGGCATACGCGCTCAGCACGTGGATGATGTTGAGGATGGAGGACGCAGGGGCCCGGGACTCGGCCATCTGCCTGCCTGCGCGCTGCACCAGGCTCCTGACATCAGCCTTCATCTCCAGCAGCGAGGCTTCATCCCCCAGGACATCTGCAGCGGACGGGCTGGCTGCCTTCTCCCCTGTCACACGCTGCCCTTCCAGCTTCCTCTGGTCCAGCAGCGCCAGGCAGCTGGCACAGACCTCTTCTGCAGACATCCACATGGAGACGTTCTCCAGCTTCGTCTCCGCAGAGGAGGTGCTGCTGCCGCCCGCTGCTCTCTCCTCCAGGCTGACGATCCTCCACTGGATCAGGTACTCGGGCTGCCCATCATGGCCCCGCCGCTGCCGCAGCAGCTCCTCTGGGTAGGCCTGCAGTTTGGGTCCCAGGGGCACCAGCAGGTTGCCATTATGCCTCTCATTCACCATGATGGGAAGTGTGCCTGCAGAGGCAGAGGGGGAGCAGGAGCTGGGGGGAGGTGGCTGAGGGACGGGCTTTGCTGTGGCTGATCCTGTGGATCGCAGTGCTTGTAACGTGCCCGGTTAACAACTCAAACGTGCTGTTGGACTGGCTGTGCCCACGGCCGCTGGTGTAACCCCTAACACAGCCCTGGCAGAGCGAGAGCTCCCAGGGCAGCCTGGCCTTGCCCGGTCTCATCTGACTGCCGCAGCCCCTACTGGGCTTCACCGGCCGGGCTGCCTCCCCTCGGGGCTCCGGAGCGAGGCCCCTTGTACAGGGTCCCTCCAGGATAACCAGGCCACGCCTGGCCCGGCCCTAGCCCCGGCCCGGCCCGGCCCGCCACCCTCCACCGCGGGGCCGCGTTACCTCCAACACCCGCTCCCACGGCGCTTCCGGGTCGGCAGGCGCGCATGCGCAGTGCCCACCCAACGGGACGGGTGCCGTGCGGCGGCACCGGGCTGGGGCTGGCGCAGCGGGACGGGTGAGCGAGGAGGGCACTACCGGGACCGCGAGGTGCCACCGGCTGCGCTTCCCCAGCGGGTCATCCTGGCTGGCAGCCACCGTGCTGCCTTTACCACCCAGCTGCCTGCTTGGCTTCACTGCTCCGTAAGCTGAGGGAGAGGAAAGAGCCTGGCTGCCCCGTAGCCAGGTTTGGCAGGATTGTGCAGAGCTCTGACCCCACCAAGATCCCACCACCACTACACGCTCAAGCCAGGGCAGCCCACAGCCCCACATTCATCTCCTGGCAAGGACTGAACAAATCCCATGGGGAAAGCACCCACCCGAGGCCCTGTGCAGAAAAGGCAGCAGTAAGGCAACAGTGGTGGTGTTGGGAACGTTTTATTGGCCACCGACATCACTTCTGTGCCACGATCCGCGGCAGGTTGACGTAGCTCTTCATGGGTGGGATAGGTTTGATCTTGCGCCCGGCCCAGCCACCTTTGCGGTGCCACAAGCCTGTGTGCGGGCGCTTGCCCAGCCAGCGGTTCCGTCCTGCCTTCCCAATCACCCGCTTGTTGTGGTCGACATTGGACACACGGCCCACTGTGGCCACGCAGGTCTCCAGCACCTAGGGGACAGGGAAGAGCTGCAGGCCTTCCTGGGAACACACACCTTTGTGCCCAGGCAGTCAGGTCAGCAATAGCATGGCTCCTCTACCTGCATTTGCCTCTTGGAAGGCAGCTGCACGATGGCGGTCCCATTCACTTTCCTCAGCAGCACCCCACAAGTCCCTGCAGCAGGCAAGAGGAGAATAGGCAGCTACCCCAAGCAGCAGGACAAAGTATCCCACCCTATGGTGAGCACATCCCTGTGCTGGGAACTCCCCAGAGCCCCTGCTGTTGCCCTTCAGGGCGCACTTCTTGCTGAAGACAGAATATCCAGGCATCACCAGCCAGCAACGGGGCAGAGCTGCCCCTGCCTCTCAGGAGGGCTTGTTTTGCACTATAACACAGGGAGGAAAGAGGACAGCAACTTCCTGTCACTGGCCAGGCAGAGCAGTGTCCCCCTGCCATCCTCTCCATCTGCACTAAGCCAAAACTGGCTACCAGCGGCAGAGACACACCAGCTGCCCGGATGTACTGCGCTCCCTTGCCAGGGTGGCTCTCCAGGTTGCAGATCAGCGTGCCGACAGGCAGAGCCCCCAGCGGGTAGGCATCCCCTTCGTTGGCTGACACTGGAAAACAGAAGCAGATGCACTGGTTGAGGAGCAGCTGACAAGACCCTGGCAGGGCTGGGCTCTGTCCCCCCCGGCCCCGGTGTGCACCTGCCATCCTGCCGATGTGAGAGGAGTTCTTGATGATGTCCCCTGCCTGCATGTTCTCCGTGGCGATGATCCAGCGCTTCCGACTGCCGCCGGCCACCAGGGCTATGTCTGCCGACCTGCACAGGGATGCACGGTGGGTGGGTTGGGGAGGGAGGCTCACCACAGCGCGCCCGGGCCCGGGGCAGAGCCTTCACCCCGCACTCGCCTGCATGGGTCGTAGCGGACGGCGATGACCTTCTCGCTGAAGGGCTGTGCCGGGGCGCCCTCCTCGTAGCGCAGCCGCTGGAAGTCGATCATTCGGTACCGTCGCTTGTGGCCCCCGCCGATGCCGCGCACGCGGATGCGGCCTGCGGGGACAGAGGAAGCGACTGCAGGCAGGAACACCCCGGCACTGCCCCGGCGAGACCCTGCCCGCCCACGACCCCGGCCCCGGCCCGCCCACCTGTGTGGTCGCGCCCGCCCGTCTTCTTCATGCCCACGGGGCGCACCGTGTACTTGACCCGGCACTTCCACATGGGGTCTCTGGTGTAGCACGGCGCGGAGCCGCTCAGCGCTCGGCACGCAGCCGCCAGCGCGGCCCCCGGCACATGGGGCACGGGGCCCGGCGGCGGGGCGCGGGGCCGGGCGGCCGACAGCAGCAGCGCCCCGAAGGCGCGGCACAACCCCGCCGCCATCGCTGTCGCCGCTGCGCCTGCGCCGGGGCGGAGCGGGGCGGGGCGGGGCGGCACCGGGGGAGGCCGGCGGGGCGGGGCCGGCGGCCATGTTGGATTTAAAGGGGCTGCGCGGCTGAGGACCGGGTGCTGCTGGGCTGGGCTCACGCCCCGCCCCGGGACCGCGACCGGGACTGAGACCGCCACCGTCTTCGAGACCGAGCGCCGAGCAGGTTGGGCGGGGGGGTGGTGGTGGTGGTCGGGGCTCTGTCGTTCTCCCGGCCGCGGGCGGTGAGGTCGGTCTCCCTGACTAGCGGGCCCGGGCCACCGACTGACCGGCACGGCGGCTGCGCGGGGCCTGTGGGGAGGGTGGTCGCCAGCCTCGGAGCGGGTTCGGGCAGTCCCCACACAGGAGCTCCCCGGGGCGGCGGCGGGAGCGGAGCGGGGTATGCCGCGGAGCCGGCGGGCCGCGGTAACGCCGCCTTGTCGGGGTGAGCCCCGCGGACAGCGGGACCCTGGCGAGCCCTCTGCTCTGGCGGCACCGCCGGGTCCTGTTCTCCTTGGGCAGCGCTGGGCCTTTGCTCTGCCCTGCCACGCAGCGACGGCTGGCAGGGGCCGGCAGCCCAGAGGGAGGCGTGTGTTTATGGCAAGGGTGGGACAGCCTGACTCATAGAAACACAGGATCAACCAGGTTGGAAGTTCACCCAGTCCAACCGTTCCCCAGCGCTGCCAAGGCCACCCCTAACACATAGCGCTGAGGGCCTCATCTACACGGTTTGTGAACACTTCCAGGGACGGTGATTCCAGCACTGCCCTGGGCAGCCTGTTCCAATGCCTGACTGCCCTTTGGGGAAGGAATTGTTCCCAATATCCAGCCTAAACCTCCCCTGGTGCAGCTTGAGGCCGTTTCCTCTTGTCCCATCCCTTGTGCCTTGGGAGCAGAGCCCAGCCTTCTCCTGGCTCCATCCTCCTTTCAGGTAGTTGTAGAGATCAGTAGGGTCATCCCTGAGCCTTCTCCAGACTGACCCCCCCCAGGTCCCTCAGTCATTCCCCATCACACTTGTGCTCCAGGCCCTTCACCAGCTCTGTTGTCCTTCTCTGGCCCTGCTCCAGCACCTCAATGCCTCTCTTGTAGTGAGGGGCCACGGCTGAACACAGGATTTGAGGTATGGCAGTTTCCAGGGTGCTGTGGACACAGTGAGAGATTCACTGCTCTAAAATTAGGCTGTGTCTTCACTGCCGGGAATGGCTGTCTGTGTAAGATAAATAAGGTGTGTTTGCGCTCCTGTTATACTGCTGTGAATTTTTCTTTAACCTCCCTGTAGCCATGCGTACCTCTATGGCCAGCTGGGTTTGCCCTCCAGAAGTAGGGAAGGGAGAACTGTAAGATGTTGTAGTGAAGAAGTGTGGGTTGTGAGATGAGGCAAGAGAGAGCCTGTGTGTCACCATGGCTGGGTTCCCTCCTCTTCCCCCCCCCCCAAGAGCACCTGTGGGGAGAGTCAGGGATCCCAGTGGAGCAGTGGCTCAGGCAAATGTAGGTAGTTGGGGACAGCGTGCCTCCAGAGGCTCACAAAATGCTTTGGATTGCGCTGGGAAAGTTTTGTGTTGCTGTGCTGGGGTGGTTATAGCAACAATTCACTGACTACATTGGATGCTGCAGTGCTGCGGCATCTATGCTCTCTGTGTAAAGCATCTAGAGGTAGAACAGATGCTTCCAGGCAGTGCTGGCCCAGCTCTGCACCCTGAAGTGTTAACACGGGGATCTTGTTCTAGATCTGCCCGCTTCTGCGGGCACAGAGATAGCGATTGCACAGCTTGGCTTGAGCTTGGGATGGGGTCAGCAGTGGGGAAACTGATACCAAGCAGGATGTAAAACCTGGTTGAGTGTTGGAGGCACAGATATAGCCGGTGCAGGGCAGGGGTGACTGTGGCTGTTTGAGCACGAGCTGATGGTGGGGTAATGCTCCTTGGGCGGCATGCAGCAGCAGCTCAGAGGTTCTGCCCCATTCCTTGGGGCTCCTGTGGGTCCCTGAGGAGGGAGCCCTGGGCTTGGCGTGCGTGATGTTTTCTGCGCTGCCAGGAGAGCATCCCACCATCCTGTTTCTGGAGCCTGGATCTCCTCCTCCCCCCCTTCCCCCCCGCCCGCTGCAGTGTGGTTGGCTGCCGAGCGCCTGGTGCCTGCGCTTCTGCTAGAGCCGGAGTGCAGCGCGGTGGGAGCCGCGCATCGCCGCAGCCTGCGCTTCCCCTCAGCGCCGGGGCCTCCGGGAGTGCCAGCGCTGGACAAGCTGCTGCAGGCAGCCAGGTACTCCTCCTCGGTGGGGTGGGGTGGGCAGGATTCCCGTCTGGTGACTGAGGCAGCAGGCAGGGTGCCCAGCCGGCCTGTAACAAAGGACCACTTTGATGTGCCATTTCTGGTAGAGCTGATGAAAACTTTTCTCCTTGGGAGCCTTACAGTTAGCTGGGTGGGCACAGGGTTTCTCTGTGGGGATACTGAGGAGGGATGGGGGGGTTTCTGCGGCTTGCTTGCTCCAAGGATAAGCAGCGGGCGTGCCTCCTGCTGCCAGACAAAGCCCGAGAAGCGATGACGGAGGCAGCTCCTGGCGTGCATCAATGGCTCTCAAACTTCCCAAACCTTGTTTCCCCCCAAACCTTCCTGCCATTAAGAAACTGCCTACTAAGCTGCTTGTAGTGGAGGTGCACCCTACTGAAGGTGGGAGCAGGGGGGAAGCAATTGCAAGTGAGCTGCTGGGAGGGAGAAGATGCGGCTGGGAGGAGGTGTTTGGGGGATGGTTCTGCAGCAGAACGCTGTGGCCAGGCAGCCGGGAGAACGTGCACAATGGTGGGAGGCAGCAGAGCATTACCAGCAGCCGCAGGCTCCCCTGCGTCCTGCAGGGCTGGCATCTGACGTGCTCCTGCGGTGCCTCACTGAGGTCTCCTCTACTGCCCTTGGTCTCCAGTGCCACCTCGGAGACGTGGAGAGCCCGTGTCTCTGCATGAGGGGAGGCAGGGTGGTGTTCAGCATGCATCGGGTCAAAGATCTGGCCAGCTCAGACAGAGGGTAAATAAACACGGCTGAGTGCTGCTGTAATTGGCAGAAGGCACAGGAAGTGCATGCTTGCTCATCTGCTTTTTTGGAGGAATGTCCAGGTAGGAACAGCATTAACCCCAAATATCAAAATGGCTCTTGGGACACAAAGGGCATGTGGTGAGATTTTGCCCTTGGCGGAATTGCTGAATAAGGGCTTGATTTGCCAGGAAAGAGACATTTATCTCCTCCAAGAATTCCAGTTGTTCGGGGCAGACAGAGGTAAAACAGATCCTCTGTTTGTTGTGTGGGTAGAGTTTTGTCTCTCTGGATTTGGCTGCCTTGTCATGGTTTACACGTCCTGTTTGCTTCTGGCAATAATAGCTCAGCCCTGCAGTCAGCTGGTTGCTGGAGCTGCCCCAGGTGCTCCATGGAGGGAGTGCAGGAACTCCAGAGCCCTTCAGCTTACACTGCAGCTCGAGCGCATTTGCTGGTCCCAGCTGCATCCTGACCATCTCCTGTACTTGTGAGGCGCATCCAGCGCACAGCCATTGCATTAGACAGATGCCTGCAAAGGCATGGGCTCCTGGGATTTATTCTGCCTGCTTTAATACTGCCTCATGCTATGAGGGCAAGGTAATGGCTCTCCCTCTGTCTTGCAGAGAGCAAGACTCCCAATCAGATCCTGAAGCTAGGAAGAGATGCTTGTCCTGGCTTCATTCCAGCTGCTTAGCTCTTGTCTGCACTAGCCTGGAAACAGCTTTTAATGCTGTTCCCCTGTAGTCCGAGGCACAGAGGATGCTTATGTCTGCAGCAGCTCACCAAATCCATTCTGCAGGAGTTAAAAAACAAGGTCTTATCAGCTGATCTGGAGGTGCTAGCATGAGCTTGTTCGCGGGGGTGGCGAACGCTGTTGTTCTGGTTGCAATGGCCTGCTAAGAGGTGCATGTCTCCCTGGCCAGATGGGGTTGTGGACAGTATGAACTGCAATAAGGAGCAAAATGGCTTTCTGCTAATGGCACGTGTTGGTGCTGGTTTGGTTTCTTTTTAGTTCCGTAGTTTTGTTGTGGGTGTTTTAACCCCTGTTCCCTCCAATATCTGCATTCTTTGACCACTAATAAATTGGAGGAGCAAGACCTTTTCTGGTCTTGGATGCAATGTGTGATCAGATAGAAAGCCAGACAATCTCTTCTGTCTTCTTCAGCCCACATGTTTGTTGGGATTGGATCATGCTTCGGTGACACATGAATTACTTGCTCTGGTCAATCGGAACAAATCCTGGTAGCTTTTGACTTGCCATTTCCATGTGTGGGCTGGAAAGTGGGAAGGGGGTGGGAAGGTCCCAGGTCCTTTCTGTAGTGATAGAAAACAGAGTCGCTGTGGCCAAGTGCCCATACATCCAGCTTACCGCCAGCTTGCCCTAGGTTTCAGGAAGGTTATTCTACGGTATGTTTTCAGTTAGAAACTGAAGGTGGTGGGGAGCTGAAGCTTCTGGGACAGAGGAGTCTTCAGTGCTGAAGGGAAAGCATGAAGGGAGCCTCTGATCTCCTTGTGGAAGAGCTGCAAATCTAGTTCCATAGTGCTGGTTCAAAGTCCCAGGGTTCCTGCAGCCTGCTGGTTAGCATGACCATTCCCAACACAGGCCTTCCAGTGTCTTAGGAAAGCTCCTGTAGCTTCACACTTGGCTAGAGCTGGTATGTGTCAGCTGCTGCTGAAAGGAGCAGTCCTGGCCTTGAGCCCTCTCCAGGGAATGGGGAGGGCTGTGCTCTTTCCAACAGCACAGTCAACTTGTACTGCGTTATATATGACTCCAGAGCCTGGAGAAGCATCTCTGGGCTTGAGCATAGGCTTTAAAACCACGTGAAGGGGGTGTCTGGCTGCAGAGTCCTGTTTCTTGGGCATGGGAGAATGCAGGTGGGACAGCTCCTTGCCTCCAGCCCCTGCTCTGCTGCTGGAGGTGGATTCCATTGCCTCTCTTGCTCTGGGACAAGAGGGACCCTGTCCCCATGGGACCCTGCGTGAAAGGAGGCATGTGCTGCATTCCCTTCCTCTGAGCCACGGGTCAGTTTCTAGTGCTGTGGTGCCTGGTCCCTTTGTCCTGAAGTGGTGTTCAGCTAAGGCAAATGGAGTTTATCTAAGGAATTTAGATGAGGATTTAGGTGTTTTTTTTTTTAAACCATGAGGATGGTTAAGCCATGGAAAAGGGGTCTGAAGTACTTGTGGGATCTCTTTTTTGGGTGATAGTCGTTGACTAGGCACAGATATCTGATCAGATGCCTGCTTTGAGTGAAGAAACCTCTAGGCATCCCTTCCAAGTAATACAACAGCCAGACTCTTTTATTGGGGAGGAAATTGCAACACAACAGTTTCTCCATGGTACTTGAAGTTATCTGTGGGTTGGTTTGACTGCAGTGCAATAAACATCCAGACTGGGGTTGGGAAAGAACTTTGGGCAGATCTATTGCAGCTTAAAGAGATGCTGGCTGTGAACTCCCAGGGTGCTGACCACTGCCTGATCTCCTCTTTGTGTGTTCTTAGTGGCTCTAAGGGAGAATGAGATAAACCAGCCTTTTCTGGAAGGGGTAACAAGCATCCCATAGTACCATTCCTGCTCTGTCTCGTACAAGCCTCAGCAGGCATGTATCCCAGGATGGAGGCATATACCACAGTTATTCCACCTGTTATTATCTTTAGGAACCTGGCATTTGCCCTCTCATTTATGGCTTTTATCGATGTTGCAGTTCTTAACATTATCCTGAAGCTGACTGTGCACCTGCCTAGCCCTTCATCTGCAAAACATCCTTTCTTGCCTCTAGTTCTAAAGCCTTAACGCATCTGTGTGCAGCTGCTCTTAGCTGTGAAGCTCTTGGGCACCATAAGAGCTGATTATATCTCTTGTTTTATCCATACTGGAGCATCTCTGGAAATGCTGACTGCTGGATGTGCAGCTTTGCAGCACTGATTTATCCCTTGGCTGTGGCCTGGGGTGGTGACACTGAGCACAGTAGCTCTTCTGGCAGTGGTGTGGCAGTGTCCAAGCCTCCTGTCAGGGTCGGAATGCCCTGGCTGTGCAGTGGGAGCCTCAGAGGCTCTGCACCACCCACTGCAGTCTACCACAGTCTCTGCTTTCTGACACTGGTGTCAAAATAAGGGGGAAGCCTGTGCTCATGACACAGCCTCTGGAATGGCTGCAACCTTGGCACTCCATTTGCTCTTTACTGCTTTTATTTTACTTTTCAGTGTCCAAGGCATTAGGTGTAGGTTTTGTCGCAGTATCCCTTAGGAGCGGAGGCTCAGCTATGTTGGTGATCTCACAGCTTCGTTGGAGGTCAGTCAGTCTTTCCAGAGCCCTTTTATTCTGTCATTTAACAGTAATGAGCTGGCGGAGGCCCAAAGAGGGGGGGAAAGACCTCTCCCTGCTTTTACCAAGTGGTTTGCTTCACAAAGACGTGACTTTGCTGTGTCTGCAAGTAGCAAAAGTATGTCTTACAGCATGAGACTGGGGTAATTATTGTGAAAATACGACTTTAAGCCTTGTGTTTCCATTTCTAAATGCTGTCATTGCTGCCTGTCTCCTGAGTATGCTCCCTCGTTCTTGCTATGGGTCAGATTTGCTCTTTTCCATGGGAAGCTTTTTTTCCAGAACCCAGCTGCTTTTCTGCAACCACTGTATGCTGAGATCACCCTCTAGAGAAGAGTTTGCTGCTAAAGATGTGTCCGTTTCTATACCGAGAATGTGGGTAGCCTGTATGTAGCTTGAAAGAAGCTGCACTTACTGTCTTGACAGTATCACTTGTGTGAGTTGTGGTGGTACCCTGTGTCTCGCATACACTTGGTCTAGGGACATGTGGGGAGACAACTGAATTTGTTGAGGCATGTGTAGACCTGAGGTCTCTCTCCTAGTATAGTTGACTTTTCTCCACCCCACAATGCTTGTTTTTTTTTGCCCTCTGTATTTTTCTAGCATTAGGCATCATGATCTAAGCTTTAAGATTCACTGGGACCCATTTAAGCCGGCGTCCTTGTTTCTGTTGTGGCAGCTGTTGTGGGTTTAAGATAGAAGCAGTGAAGCTTCCAGCCCTTTCCTCTTAAAGCTCTTGCATGTGGGAGCAGTTTTCAGAGGCAGAGAAGTGGGCAGCTGAAATTGCTGATGCTCAGTGATTTCCCAGTTATGCACTTGAGTACAGGAGGAACGTTCCTGCCTGGCAGGATGTGCTAGCTGATGGATTCCCAGCTGATTGCTGCTACTGCAGTGCTCCTCCAAATGGGAGCAGGGTGCAGGGCTGAGATGGGTGTTGCCGGAAAGCCAGGCTGTTCTAGCAGCTCCCTGTAAATAGGGAAGACATGCCAACTGGAGCAGAAACCTGCGGTGGAGACCTGGGCTGTGGCATCTGCAGAGCCATGAGGAATGCACCAGGATAAACTAGGAACTGTGAACTCCAGCTTGGAAAAGCACTCTTTCTTCCTATTCCTGGCTGGACCTCCCCCTGCCAAAGGCAAAGGGTGTGTGTCCCCCTCTCTGCAGGAACCTCCAAGTGTGTTTTCTGCCTGGATAAAGGACACTCAGTGCCCTTTACTGGCTGTGTGGGAGCAGTAGGAGTGCTTATGCAGCAGCCTCAGCCTGCCTGACCTTGGCATCAGTTGCCATTGAGTATGATTCCTCTGGAGGGCTGGGCACAGTGTGTAGACCTGCCAGCACTGGGAAGAGCTGGAAATAAGGCTTTGGTGGGAAGAATTGTTGATTTGGAGGGATAAGTTGTCAGCTCCCACCAGTGTTTGTTGGTTTCCTTTGCTGTATGGGATCTATCAGTGTTGAAATGACTTCTCTGCAGTCATCCTGTTGTTTTCTTGCTGGTACTTGGGAAGGAACAGCTTGCGTGTTGTTCCCAGGTCGTGTGCCATGTGTCCAGCCTGGATAATCCCCTGGCCTCCCTTGAATGGTGGAAGCTTGTTGGTACCTAACAGAGCTGTGCTTCCATCCTAAGGAGGAAAGACCAGGGTTGTGCAGAAGTGTTTGTACAGACAGTGAGAGAAGAGGAGCCTGTGTTGGTGTGTCCTGAGGATGCGGTTGTAGGGTAGGGTAAGTCTGTGCTGTGGGTCAGGATATTTGGATTATTTTCCTTTCTCAGTCTGAAATCTTTACAGTTTGGAAAACCAAGTTGATTGTAGGGCCTCTGGAATGCTTGAAGCTTTTTTTCTGCTGGAAGGGCTAAGGAAAGACAAGATGTCATTGTAGTGAAGGTACTGGTGGCTTAATATCCAGCTCAGCAATTTCTCAGTTATTCTGTTCACAGTGGAATGAATGAGGCTGATTTTTCTATGGCTTTGGATCTTGTCTGACTCTGTTATCTAGGAAAGTTCAAGCTCTGGTGGGTTTTTTATCATGATTTGTAATGTGTTCTTCTTCCCAATGCATTTGTATTGTGCTTTTTGAAGATGGCAGCGCGATCTCTCTGTGGACATCAGTAATGCTTCCATGACAGCTGCCAGCATGTTGCAGCTGACCCAGGACGCAGAGGGTGGGTGAAGAGGCACTTGTACTCCTCAGCTGTGTGAGCCTTAGGGGGTAGAGCTCTTGTTTGTTGTGTGCTGCGTATGGGGCTGCTCCTGGGGCTCTCCTTGTGTCCCAAGCATTGCAGGTGCTCCGGAGGACTCCCTCTAATGTCCCTGTTTCTGAGTGAGGGGCTGTGTTTCCATATGAGCTGAAACCAGTGGTGGGGTCATTTCGCTCTTTAGCAGTTGTTAACCTTGTCTCCTTTGGAAGCAAGTAAGTGCCTGCTGAGCCCTCCTGGGAAGCTCTCTGGATCTATTTCGGAGCAAGACAACAGTGCTTTGCCAGATGTGCCAGCACTAGCATCGATATGCATCTCTTCCTGACTTGTGTTTCACCCACAGAAGCCTGCTTTAGGCAGGGCTTCCCTTTCTGTTCTAGAACTCGATTGCTCCCCAAGATGCATTTATAAAGGTGGGAAAAAGATTAACCAAGGGAAACAGGGAGCAGAATGCTTAGCTGCCAGCTCCTGCAGAATCGGGTTGGAAGGCAGGGTATGAGTGGCGGCCAACTCTCAACAGATCCATTCTTTCCTTTGGAGTGGTCTATGGCCCCTATCTTGATCTTGGGAATGTTTTTCATGCCATTCTTGTAATATGGTCTTCTCTAAAGCAAACTGGGAAATCTCATAGTCCAGATGAGACTTTTCAGTGTAAAATGCGCAGGGTAACCGCACATGGAGCGTGGCAGATACCCAAAAGTGAAGAATACAGTGAAGTATGGCTTGGGGTTGGTGCTGATGATCATGAAGTGAATGTCAAGTCACATTGTGACTCTGGAGTGGGTGGTGGAGTGCTTGGCTCTTGCTGAAAGGTGTGAATAGGAGCCCAGTCTTCACATGCTATGTCTCCTGACGCTTCCTGAGGGATGGATGTGCATCAGTGGAGCAGAAACCAAAGATAGGCCTGAGCTCTCGGCTCATGAAACAACTTGAGGAGCTTCTGGAAGAGTGAGGCTGAAGAGGAGGAAATGGGTGGATATAATGAGATGTATGTGCTTTGAGCAACTGCCCCTGCACTGTTTGGTTTTGCCATCTTCACTTGCAAGTGCTGCAGCGAGGAAGAAACTGGACCCTCTTATTGCTCAGTGCCCAGTCCGGGGCAGGGGTAGTGGTAGCTGAGCTGGGGGATTGCCCTGTGTCCCGTGGGGTAGAGTGCAGGGTGAGCAGGAGAGGGGCTCTGCTCTGCCCTGTACTTGGGCAGCGTGCTCAGCAAGGCTGCTGCTGCACAAAGAGCTCGAGCCACGCGGAGGTGGGTCCTGCAGGAGGACAAAGACAAATGTGTTGGCAGCTCTCCCTGCTCCTGTGTAGGGCCCAGGGCAGTTTGCCAGCCTCCTGGTGCCCAGGTTCAGTGCCTCCTGACAGCTCCAGGCAGTGCGGAGGTGCTGCCTGCACAGGGCATGGCAGCGGCTGCCTTCAGCCCTGCAGGAGCCTGCCCTTGGGGTGACCCACAGCATGCTGCCTGCTGCTCGTGTCTCCTGCCCTCTGGCCTGTCTTCCCTTGCCCCCTGGATTTCACCCTGCAGGGATCCCACAGCCACACTGATGTGGGTTTGTAGCACTTGGTGCCCCTGTGCTAAGGCAGTAGCTTGGCACTCTCCTGTTGTATATGTGGGGGGCACAGGACAGGGAAGAAGTACGGAGTCCTTGTGGCATCCTGACGAGCCCTTGGCCTGGCAGCAGGGAAAGCTGGAAAAGCTGTTAGTGTTTCACGCTGACACCACACGGAGGTTATGCTAGTGTGACTGTAGCTCTTGGTGTATGTAATCGTTGTCACCAGGGGTGATTCAGTTCATGGTGGTGGTGTCTGTGTCCCTTTTTTCCACAATGGCCACCCTGTGCCAAGGCTTGGGGTTATGAGGATGGGCTCTTCTGGGCAGGGAAGGTTTGGTTTGTCCAGTAAGGTGCCTCCCTGTCTGAGATGCTCTTCCAGGATATTTTGCACTGAGGCGCCAGAAAGCTTTGAGCTGGCATCCCTCCACTTTCTATTCCCTTTCCTCTGCAGTCAGAAGAGGTGTTGAGCTCCGACAGGCTCCTTGCGTCGTGGTCTGTGGGCAGGAGGTGCACACATTGCAACCCCAGCTGCCAACTACAAATCTATGCTCTTAAATGGAAGCTAAATCAGCTTTCCTTGCTGCTGGGAGTGTGGGGGTGTGGGAGGTCAGCACTGATTCCGGCCTTTTGTCTCCTGTCCACGTGTGCCACCTGCACTGGTTGCAGCATTTCATGCCACAGAAGTGGAGACACATGCCCTGACAGCTGCCAAAGGCACAGGGGAAGGGCTTAGAGCAGAGGAGCAGTTGAATGCTGTCTCTGGCTGCTTGAAGGAGGCTGTGACACTTGTGTCTGGTTGTGACTCTCTGAAGCAGCACTGAGGCACTCGGGTTTTGTCTCTGTCCTTGCAGGGCTGCAGAAGCAGGACTATGTCCACCATGGTGTACCCAAGGGAGGAGAAACTGGACAAGTTGAGCCAAGAGGAGATAATTTCCAACACCAAGCTAGTGATGCAGGGGCTGGAGGCACTCAAGAATGAACACAACTCCATCCTACACAGCTTGCTGGAAACCATAAAGTGCCTGAAGAAAGACGAAGAAGCCAATCTCGTGCATGAAAAATCCAACCTGCTCCGCAAGTCAGTGGAGATGATCGAGTTGGGGCTTGGAGAGGCTCAGGTGAGAGCAGTGTTACCCAGCACTGACAGGGGAAGGGAGGCATTTGGCCATTGCCTCTAAGCTGCAGAGGCAGCAATGGGCTGAATGTGACCCTGAGGGTGGGTGGACCCTGAGCGTGTGTTTGAGGGGGATACCAGATTGCGGTAGTTACTGATTGTAACTCTTGACAAGGTGATGATGGCATTGTCCAACCATCTGAATGCTGTGGAGTCAGAGAAGCAGAAGCTGCGTGCACAGGTGCGGAGGCTGTGCCAGGAGAACCAGTGGCTGCGTGATGAGCTTGCCAACACCCAGCAGAAGCTGCAGCGCAGTGAGCAAACCGTGGCTCAGCTGGAGGAGGAGAAGAAACACCTCGAGTTCATGAACCAGCTGAAGAAGTACGATGAGGATGTCTCACCTTCGGTATGCCCCAGTCCTGTTGGGCAGCACCTTTGAGGGTGGGGAAGGCTGGACCAGTGGGATTACCTAGGTGTGATAGCATCACCCTGGATTTTGCCCCTTCCCAGCTGCTATGCATAGCAATACCTGTAACTAAAGGGAGCTTCCAGAGATTCTGCCCTATAACTAAAGGGGCAGAGTCTCTGGAATAGCATGGAGTAGCATGCCAGGGTGTGCTGGGGGAAATTTGGCTTTATTTGGGGGGAGGAGGGGGTTGTAAGATGGTGGTGGAGCTAACAGGGGAAACTGAGGGTGTTGGTGGGCTGCAGTAGGGAGGAGAGCTTGGCAGCTGATTCAGCCCAGGCTGCTGTCTTCTCTGAGAGCACACAGTACTATCATTCCATCCTCTCAGGAGGAGAAGGAGGGTGACTCCGCCAAGGACTCTCTGGATGATCTGTTCCCGAATGAGGAGGAGGAGCATGGTCCTGGATGTAAGTGTTTGCTCGTGCATGCTTGCTGCTGTCTCTGTTCAAGCCCGCTGTGCCAACTGTGCCCCTGTGTTCTTCTGTGCCTGCAGTGCCCCACCAGCACAGTAGTGCAGTGGCAGCTGCCCAGCAGGGAGGCTATGAGATCCCTGCACGCCTGCGCACGCTCCACAACCTTGTCATCCAGTACGCCTCACAGGGACGCTACGAGGTGGCTGTGCCACTCTGCAAGCAGGCGCTGGAGGACCTGGAGAAGACATCTGGCCACGATCACCCTGATGTGGCCACCATGCTCAACATCCTGGCACTAGTGTACAGGTGAGCATGCTGGGGAGAGCAGGACTGGGCCAGGAGAGCCTTCTGTCTCTCCCATTTACCAGGACAGCACATGATGGTGATAGGGAGCTTCCCCTGCTTCCAGTGATTTGCCTTTCAAAAAGGTTTTGGCACAGATGGGGTATTTGTACCATCAGGCTCCCTAGTATTCCAGGGAGGAATGGAGAAATGAAAGGGCTAGGGGGGCTGGATCTGTGTGGAAGGACTGTTGTTAGCAGTTGTGCTTGCAATGGGCTGTGGTGCCCAAATCCTGAATAAATGCTTGACTTTGCACTGCAGGGATCAAAATAAATACAAAGAGGCAGCACACCTCTTGAATGATGCACTCTCCATCCGTGAGAAGACTCTGGGCAAAGACCACCCAGCGGTGAGTGTCTTCTTCCTCATTCAGTCCATTCTGTTGCCTTGTGGGCCCTGCTAGGGCTAGAACAGTGCCCCTGTGGTATGTCTGCAGCTGGACTGCCAAGGTCAGCAGTGAGCTCTGTAGTGTGTGAATGCTGTTCACACCATGTAGGGCTCTATTTTGCTGCTTCAGAATGGCCTGTCAGAGGCTGGTTTCTCCTGGATCCTGCACTGTAGGCAGGGTAGCCTTCTGCCTCTGAGCCTTCTTGTCTTCAAAAGCAGCTGTCTTGCAGGCATGAAGGAAATGGTACTGCCATGTTACTGCTGCTTGCACCCCTTGTTTGATCCTGCTGGATTCTGCTCTGTTTCATGGAGAAGCTTGTGTCCCTGCAGGTGGCAGCAACTTTGAACAACCTGGCTGTTCTCTACGGCAAGAGAGGGAAGTACAAAGAAGCAGAGCCGCTGTGTAAGCGAGCCCTGGAGATCCGTGAGAAGGTAGGTACGGGTCTCCCGTGCTCTCCTTCCTTTCTTTCAGCCCTCCCTGAGGGTTTTCCCCCCATTACCTCACTGCACCTTGGAGATCTAGGACCTAACTAGTCTCTTCATCTGCTGACTTTGCCACCACCTTTCCTGTCTCTCCAGTGTTTGCAGCCTTAGAGAGGCCTGCCAGGAGGTGGAAACTGGAATTTCTTCCGTTTACCTCCTTAGTCCTTGGCTCCTGTCTGACATAGGCATGTCATGGAAGAGACTACAGTGTCTGTTAGCTCCAGGAGTCCACTGCAGTCTTTAAATGCTTTTGTGGCTTCTCTTACTTTCTTTACCCAGGTCCTAGGCAAAGACCATCCTGATGTGGCAAAGCAGCTGAACAATCTAGCCCTGCTGTGCCAGAACCAGGGCAAGTACGATGAGGTGGAGTACTATTACTGCAGGGCTCTGGAGATCTATGAGAGCTGCCTGGGTCCTGATGACCCCAACGTGGCCAAGACCAAGAACAACCTGGTAATACCCCTGGGAGAGGCTGTGTGGGGATGGGGAGTGTAGCCATGGGGAAGGTGAACATGGCCCTGGTGCTTGGAAGATACAGAGAGATAGCTGCAAGAGGGGGGCAGAGTTAATTTGTGTTGCCCAGTGGGGCTGGAGCTGTTTTCTTGGTTGCAGGCCTCCTGTTACCTGAAGCAAGGCAAATACAAAGATGCAGAGGTGCTGTATAAGGAGATCCTCACACGTGCTCACGTGAAGGAGTTTGGCTCTGTGGATGGTTTGTACAGCAGAAGCTCTTGGGGCTAGGGAAGGGTGGGCAGTTTGGGCTCCTGGCTCTCAGCCTAGGCTTGGTTGGGTCTGGTATTCTCCTGGCGGAAGGATGGGATGCTTCCCAGGTCCTCTGCTTTGGGCAGCCCTTGGGACACTGCTATTCTTGTGTGTTATGCTGCTCTTCATCCCTGTGGGAGGACTACTTTGCTACGTTCTCTGTCTTGCCCTTGTGATTCTGGTTGCCTTTCTTGGGGCTTGGGGGATCTGGAAGCCTTGTCACTTCCCTCCTGTGAGCTGCTCGCTCTGGGGACAGAGTGCTTGGCTGTGTAGGAGGCAGAGCCCCATTGGAAGTGGCAGAGGACAAGGGTGAGGTGGTGAGCAGAGTTGTCTTGCATTCTTCCCCACACAGATGAACACAAACCAATCTGGATGCACGCAGAGGAGAGAGAGGAGATGAGCAAGGTGAGTGATGGTGTTGATAGCAGCAAGAACCCTGGGAGGGGAAGGAGACACGGGGGTTTAGATCCTCTCGTTACAGCCACAGTCTCCTTCCTGCAGTCTGAAGAGCTGCCATGGCCACTGATGAAGGCCAGAAGGAGTCTGGAGAGTGGAGAGATAGCATGGCTGCTCCTTGGGGTAGCAGGGAGGGAAGGCCCATTGGAGTGCTTGATGCCCTTCCTTGGGCAGGGGATTGTTCAGCCTCTCCAACCATGGCTGCATGCTCTCTCTTTTTGCTTCAGTGATCCCTCTAGGGCATGCAGATGATGGAAGATGGCAGATGGCAGAGGGTTGTGCTGCAGAGCCTTGGCACTCAGTTCCAAAGAGCTGCTAGTACCCAGAGCACAACCTACTTCTGAAGCAGCAGCCCTAAGGCTGCCTGGGGAAAAGCGGAGGTCAAGAAGAAACTGCTGCTGTCAACTTGCTTAGAAAACAGAGCCAAACCTCCAAGACAGATTTTTGCACAGGGTGGGCCCTATCCTAGTTGGTGGCTGAAAAAGGATAGGCATAGGTTGTGCTTGCCTTGGACTAAGCTGAGAGACAAAGACACCTACTGCTGTTGTTCAGGCCCTGCTCTGTGCTCAGCTGATAATGCAGCAGTGTCCTGCCTCTGCATTTCCCAAGCCTAAAAGCTCGCCTGCTTTTTGGCAGGTGGGTGAAGCAGCAGAACGAAGAGCTCTGGTATAGTCATCTAGCTGCAGGGGGAGCAGACACTGTCCTTCCTTTGCCCTCCGAGCAGGCCCCATCCCTGTATGGGCTCAGACAAGCAGGCTCCAGGCTTTGGCTTAGTGACTTACCAGTCCCATCCTGCGAGCACTTAAGAGCAGGGCTCCAGTAGCTGCCTCCCAGCAGCATGCTGTGCCTTCCCATTGAACTGCTCTGTGCAGTCCCCAGTGCAGGGCAGTGCTCAGCTCCACCTTGCACTGCTCCCGTTCCTGCCCTGTGAAGGCTCTGCTGTAAAGAAGTCACACTTGCTGCCACATCCTGCACAGGCGACATCGAAGTCGGCGCAGACACCAGGCTTCCCTTCCCCCTCTGGGACTGGCTCACTCCTGGGGAGGTCTTTGGAGAGTTAAGGTCAAAAGTGTGGGGCTGTGCTTCAGAAAATGTCAGATTTGCTACAGGGCAAGTGAACAGGCTCGGGAACCTACAGCTGGACTGAGATTTGTTTTATAACCCAAGGCAAGGGCTGAGCTGCTTTGCCTATCCCTAGTGCAACTGTACCCATGCCCTGTGGCAGACACGGTTGGCATGGCCTTCCTGGCCAGGCAGCAGTGACCACAGAGCTGCTTGTCCTGCTGGCCCAGGGGCTGGGGCTGCTGTGCTCTGCTTTGTGCTGTGATTCTTCATCTCCTATTAAAAAAGTCATCAAACCCCTCTTGCAGAGCTTCACTTCTTTTTTTCCCTGTGGGTTCAGCCACCCTCTTGGTGCTGAACACCCTCTGCAGCTTCAGAGGTGTTTTGAGTCCTGAGCTCTCCTGTCCCTGGGGCATGCCCAGGCCACGTAGGCTCTGGTGCAAGGAAACCTGTGTGTGTCTGTGGCTCAGGGAGACTCCACCATGTGGGGTAAAGATCTTAAGAAGCGTGTGGGACCGAGTGAGAAGAATAGTCCCTGTGAAAACCATTTCTTCTGGGCTAGAGCCCTTGCCAAAGGGAATCTCCTGTTGTGGAGCCAGTGCTCACCACACACCAGGGTGCACAGGAGCCCTACTCCTGCAGCAGAGGCAGTTCCTGCCTGCAGCTGCCATGGTGGCTACTGTCCCGGGGTAATGCTGTCTGGCAGCTAGCATCCTGCAGAGTAGGTTGTCCTTGTGGATCTTCTGCCTTGACCATCGTGCTCTGCCCTGTCTCCTGTTGCTCTGTCCAGCAGCCTCTTTGTTCCTGGCTGTGGTAGGGCCAGCCAGCTTTGGGGTGCAATGACTGGGCATGGAGAGGAGACAAAACAGCTCATGGGCAAAGCTGCCAGGGGTAGAGGCCTGACCTTGGATGTGGCTGGCCGATTCCTTTGCTAGCTGTGTCTGAGGATGTTAGTGCCCTTGCTGCCTGGCATGTACAGGGATTTGTTTTGTTGGTTGGGGTGGCTTCTTTTTGGTCTCTCTTTTGTATGATGGGTAGGATGTTACGTCCTCCAGAGCACCGTGAGGATAGGCTGTGTTGTCCCTGCTGCCTTTGGTACTATGGAAGGGGAAAGAACATGGGATTATGCTCCTTGCTGGGGTGGATACATCATTTCTATTTGAGCCCCAAATCTGTTGTAGCAAATGGGCTCTCAGCTTTCCCTCCAGGAACCTGCTCGGCTTCATCACTGCCTTTGCATATTGTATTTCCAAAGGCTGTGCTGGTGTGGAGGTGCAGCCAAGGGTCTGACCCTGGCAAAGGCCAGAGAAGGCAGTAGGCATGGGGCTAACAGCTTTCCTCTCTCTTCATCCCATAGAGCAAGCACAGAGACAGCGCTCCCTATGCTGAGTACGGCGGCTGGTACAAGGCCTGTAAGGTCAGCAGGTAAGAGGTGGCTCATGGGCAGCTGTGGGCTCTGGAGAGAGCAGGCCTCCCGCTCACCTTCCACCACTGCAGCCCGACGGTGAACACCACGCTGAGGAACCTGGGTGCTCTGTACCGGCGCCAGGGCAAGCTGGAGGCGGCGGAGACCTTGGAGGAGTGCGCGGTTCGCTCCCGGCGGCAGGTAACCCTGCAGGGATCCTCCCTGGGGCAGGGAGCACTGCGGGATGTGGCAAATGCATGGCACTGCCTGTGGCTTGGGTGTGCTGTGAGAGGGCCTCTCTGGGCCTTGCAGCCTCTGACACCCTTGGTTTATGGTCCCGCAACACCAGAGCATCTTGGTGGTTAACCCTGGGGTTGCATTTGTGCGTGTGTGGGGCTGTGCAGTATGCACATGGATGGAGCAGGTTGTCAGTGTGTGTGTCCGTGTTGGGAAGAAGGTCTGGCTCTTTGAGTGCAGAGGTGCTGCAGCCAGGTTAGTGCAGGGAACTGGGCTTTTTCAGCTACTGAGGACATCTGTTCCCAATGGGATGTTTTCTTCCCCCCCTTTTTTTTTGTTCCCCAGGGAAACACAGTAGGGATTTCTTAGAGTACCTCTTACCCTAAACTGCTCCCTGTCCTCAGATAATAAAGCAGGAGCTGTAAACAAAGACTGCAGAACAACAGAAACCTTCACAAAGGTGAAGGAAAAAAAGCTGTTGGCTTTGGGGTAGCAAAACCTTGTCCCCCATAATAGTTACGGTTTGATGGGACTTACTGAGCTGGGAACCCTGCAGGGTCTAAGTGCTGGGTGGCACTTGGCTCCATTCTGCTTGTGCTGGAGAGTTTTGGCTATGAGGGGGCAATGCCCAAAAGAGAGGATGGGACCAAGCACAGTGATGACACAGCAGATCCCTAGAGGGAAGGAACACACAAGGGCAAAACGTGGTGCTTCCTTATCCCTTTCTCCTTGCAGGGCATTGACCCAATCAACCAGACCAAGGTGGTGGAGATCCTGAAGGAGGGTGATGGCACAGAGAGACGTCGGAGCCTGGGGGGCAGCGTCAAGTATGAGAATGCCACAGACGGTAGCGAGGAAGTGAGTATGGGCGTGGAATGGAGCGGGGTAAGTACAAGACACCATCAAGAATGGCCTCAGCTGGCTGCCAGAGGGAAGGGACTGCCTGCCTCGGGGCTGTCCCCATGTGGCCTGTCGTGGCATCCTTGTCTGCCTCCATTTGTACCCTGCACACTTCCTTCCCCTCTTTCTTGGCATGAGCCAGCCAGCCTGCAAAGGTTTGTGGCTGGGCCTGGCTTTTGGTGTATCCCTTTTGGTGGATATCCTCAACTAGGGCTCCTGCTTCCAGGGGGCTGTTTAGGCCCTGGCGATGCACAGCATGAGCTGGTCCTGGTCTGCCCTTAATCTTAGCCTTGCAACCTTATTAACATCTCTCTCTGCTGCTCCCCTCTTGAGGCCCTGGCTGAGAGCATTGGATCCACCTCAGGCCCACAAGCCTCTGTGGGCAGTGTGGCTGTTCTGTCCTGCACTGCACCCAGGCGATGCTGAGGCTGGGGAGGGCTCTGGGGGTGTGTGCCTGGTGTGTTTGTGACTGAATGACTGCAGGGCATGGTCATAGTCTGCAGCCAGTGTCTTTGTCGTCCCCCTCTCTGGGTCTCATGCCCTCCGTAGGCTCTGGTGGTAAAAGGCAGGTCTTTGGGATGCTAGGCCAGCTGACCAGTGGTGGCAAAAGAAGCTGGTGTTAGCTGAGGCACAGACAAAGCAGCCTAAGCCTGTCTAGGCTTGCTCTGAGACTGAGTGGCACTTTGGTCACTAGTGCTGATAGAGGGTGATAGGGGTCCAGATCTGTGATGGGTGCCTTTTGTCTTCTGCAATGAGGAGGATGGAGAAGAGGTGGAAAGTGAGCATGGTGCTAGTGGGTGCTTGGCTCAATGCTAGTTAACGCTTAGAATTCCTCCTGCAAACCTTAGCAGAGAACATAGCGTAGCTGGGTGTACCCAGGGGTGGTTGTGGCTTGGCACAGGCGACACACTGAGCACATGGAGTCCTTTGCTCCTCCCTCACATCTGCTGTCACTAACCCTTCCCCACCTGGCTCCACTCTATCTCCACCGCATGAGCTCCCTTTCTTCCTCCTTCCTCTTCCCTGTTGCCATGACAGCCCCTCAACATCCAAGCCTGAAGCCTGCTGGCTCTCTTGATTGTGGATTGTACCCCGGAGATGACTCAAGGGGACCTGGGGAGCAGAGCTTTGAGAGGCCCCCAGCAGCCCCACCAGATGAAGGGCTGTCCTCTGCTCCACCCCTTGGTATCAGGAGTGAAGAGGGTCATAGACTTGCAGAGACACCAACCTTGGGCCTTTGCGCTCTCTGGTTCATAGAGGGGCTAGGCAAGCACAGAGGGAGGGCTGCAGGTTTGAGTTAGGATCAGCTGGTCCCTGTCCTGGCTGGTATGTCTCCACTGTTCCTCCTGGCTGTGGTTGGTGTGCGGTGATCACTTTGCACTAGTGATGGTCTGGGAAACCTTCCAGTCTCTGAGCTGATCACCCCAAGGCAAGCAGGCAATGCCTGACCCAGCCAACGGGATAGTTCTTGCTCATATGACCCTTCCCCATGGCCCAGCCAGCTGTAGATAGCGGGTTTGAGGGCTGGCCTAGCACCCTTGGGGACACAGCTGCTGCCACATGATGCTGCACACGCAGCCAGCCTCTTCTCCCAAGCCAGCAGCCCTGCTCTGGGCTGCAGCTCACCAGAATGGAGGCTGAGGCAGCTCCAGCTGCTCCTGTTTGTCATGGCCAGTTGTTCCCTGTAGCAGTCTAGTGCCTTTGGATGTGCTGCCATCCTTTAGCTGTCAGCTGCTGCGGGCAGAGCCATGGGAGTCCCCAGGGTGCCATCAACCTCTGTGCGCTGCTGCCAAGGGGAGCCCTGGAGCACCCCAAGGCCTGGACCAGCTGCGTGCTGCCCAGGGAGCTGGGAGAGCCAGGATGGTGCCAGCTCAGTGGTGCGGAGGCCTTGGCAGGCACACCATGCTCATGGCCCAGGAGCAGGGACCTTTCTGAGCAGGAGGCCCAGGCTGTTCCTCCTGAAGCTGGCTGTTCTACCAGCCTGCTCGAGCACGCCGGCAAAGATGTGAGCCCACTGACTGAGCCTTACAGGGCTCCCACCCTGCCCAGGCGTGGCCCCATCTCTGCATGCAGCCTGGGCCCTGCTCCTCACCTGCACCTACAACCTCACGGCCTTGTAAATTGTGTCTTTCTCCTCTCTGTGCACTAGGCTTAAATGCCTCCCGAGACTCCCTCTTTCCCCTCCACCGCAATCACCTGGATGTTTGTGTTGTATCTTCCGACTTTTCCTCCACACCATCCCTCCTTCCTCGGCAAGGACTCCACGCCAGCCCCCCAACCCTCCCGGCGCGCGAGGGCACCGCCACGGCTGCAGAGGAGTGAGGTCCTGGCCAGCGCCAGCCCCAGCCCCATGGCCAACAAGAGCAGGAAGAAGCTGCGTGGAGCTGCCCGCTCCCCTAGGCCAGGGCCACGGGCACCGTCCCCTCGCGTGTCCCCACCCCAGCCTGCCCCTGTGCGTTGCTGGGGACCAGGCCTGCAGGGGATTGTCTTCACTCCAGGCGTTCCGACTCCGCCATCATTAGCCATCCTCAGCCCTCCTAGCTTGTTCCCTCCATCTCTGCAGAAGCCAGGAGCGAGGCATGAAGATGGGGAGCCCTTGTGGGACAGGGAGGCCTGGCCCTGGCAGGGCTGTCATGTGCCCAGTTGCTTTCTTCCCTGTAGGCTTAGCTGATTTTAGTGCCCTGTAGCAAACCTGCGCTGGCCACTGGTGCGCTGGGCTCTCCCTGCAGCGTAGGGCAGTCCCTGTCTTGCTTCCCCCTCCCTGCTGAGCTCTGTGATCTAGTGGCAGCATGTAGGCCTCTGTAGGGACATAGGGTGGCCTGTAGCTACTGTACATCCAAGACAAGGTGAGGGGGTGACAGCTAAGCGCCATGCATGAAGCAGGGTCTTGCCAGGACAAGCATGTTTGGAGGCAACCTCCTGACCTGATGCTGTAGCCTAATTCCTGATGACATTAAGGGGTGGATTGGCTCCCCCTTGCTCCAGGGTCCCCAGGCATGGTTGCTGGGAGAGGCGAGGTGAATCTGTTCAGTGTTCCATGCAGGCAGAGGAAGGGCAGGAGGAAAGCAGAGCTTTTCTGCAGGGGCCAGGCTCCACGCTGTTAGAAGTGGTTGATACAGGGAATGGGCTGGTTTGGAGCGGTGGTTGGGAGAAAATGTGCAAAGAAGGATGTGAGGAAAGGAAGAGTTGGGGCTTGGAGTGCTCTGAGGATGTGGAGGCAGATGGGATGGTTTGAGGGAGGTTTCCACAGGAGCTGAAGGAGCAGGTTAATCACGGAAGGGGGGAAATTCCTGAACACAGGACCTGGCTGAGCAGGCTGGTCCTGGGCTGTGAGTTCCTGCCTGGCTGTCCCTAGCCAAGCAGGAGGGAAACCTGTAACCCTGACACTGCTAGGAAGGCAATGCTGACCCTTGTCGTGCGTGGAGGTGGCTCAGTGCCTCTGATGGGACTCCAGACCTGCACAGGGTCTGATGCTGTCAGTCCCTACTGGGAAGGGGGAAGTTTTCCAGGGCCTTGAGCCTCATCCCACCTCCTATGGGATGTGAACCCTGGCCCTCCTACCTGTGAAGGAAGCTGGGGAGGCTGCAGCCAGCAGGATAGAGCCCAGAGGCCAGCGCAGGAGCCCATTTATTTATTTAGCTAGCTAATTTGCCTCATGCTATCATCTGGCAGGTTGTGATACTAAATGTGCTTATGTCTGCCTGGGCCTGGCTTTCCTGTGGGGGTGCAGAGACCTTGGGGCATGTGCATCCTGCTGCCCTGGGAGCTTGTGCTTGCTGACAGGAGCTTTGTCCCTGTGACCATGGAGTGCAGAGCCCAGGGCTGAGTGCTCCGGGCTGTGCCTCCTCTGCCTCTCTCCCAGCGCCGCTCCACGCTCTGGGGAGCGGTGAGTCCCCAGCACAGGGTGCGTTCAGGCCTGTGTGTGCTTTGCCCTGTGCTGGACCCGGTGCTGTAACAACCGTACCTCTGATTAAAGGCAGACAGACCCGAACCGCTGCCCTGTGCTTCTTTCCATGCTGTGTAGGCCAGCGCCGGTCAGCCCTGGGGTGGTGGGTGCAAGCGCTGCTGGAGCCGGTGTGGGGTTGCTTGGTGCCTTGTGTGTCTGTAGGGGCTGTGCTGCCCGCCAGGCACCTCTGCAAGGGATGAGGGACCCAACCCCACTGTGCCTCTCCCTAACCTCCGACCTGGGGTTGCTACTGACCTCAGCTCTGTAGCAGTGTGTGGCAGGGCTGCCCTGGAGCATCTGAGCTTTTAGGCCTTTCCCAAGCAGTGTTTCCGTTAGCGAGAGCAAGCCCCCAGTACTGATCTCCACATGCTGCCAAACCCCGCTCGAATCCTCTGCCCTCTGTGCAGCAGTCGGGGCGGGAGCACGCAATGGAGAGTGGCTCAGTAGTGGAGTTGCTTCTTTGAGTGCTCTCATCCTGGTGGGTGCAGTGGGGTAGAGGCTCTGCAGTAAACCAAGCCCCATACATGTTCTGGCTTAAAAATAACCCTGCAGCAAAGGGAGTAGGGAGAGGAGGGAGGCTATTTTTAACCCAGCATGCACCAGCGTTTGTTCTGGTGTTGATCTGCAGTCAGTCTGCATTGCTGCAGCTGGGGAAATGCCCTGACCCCAGAGCAATACTTTCTAGCTGGATCCTGCTGCCCTCATACCATGTTCCTACTCCCCTGCCCCTGCTGTGTGCCCTTCTTCATCCCTGGCTTGCATGCCCTGGCAAGAACAGTGCCTGGTATGGCAGTACCCTGGTGACTTGGTGTAAGTGTGATGGGGAAGCAGAAGACACCCCACCCCTGTCTCTGCTGGTGCCATGTACCATGATGCCTGGGGCAGGAGCTGAGTTATTTTCCTTGCTAATACTTTGGTGCTCTCTGCATTCCTGGTGATGGGGTCCCTTGCAGCAACAGCACATGGCTCCCGGTTTGGAAATCCCTCATCCTAACGAGAAAGTGAAGAGATTCAATGCACTTGGCTTATCCAAGGAGGGATGAGATGAATACTGGGAGAAAGGGTTGTTGGTAGGAAAAGTCCTGTTCAGCTGCTGAAGTGGGGTCTAGGGCTGGATTGGCTTTGGGTAATTGGAGTGGGGCAGTGTTGGGAAAGCCTTCCCCAGGGCCCCAACCTGCAGGGGTTCAGGACAAAGGAGTGACTGACCTAAGGCAGACAATATGCTTCCCTGCAGCCCTGATGCAACTGCTGATGCCAGCCTGGGCCACAGGGCATTTTGGTCATTTAGAGCAGTACAAAGGGGCTCCCACTCCTGTTTGTAAGGAGCAAAGAGCTTTTGTGGTCACGTTATCTCTGCTTTTTCTGCCCTGATGTGCCAGGAGCCATTGGGATCAGGGGCAGGGAGCATTGCTGTTACTGGGCCATCAGAACAAAAGTAACCACATCAGCAGTAGTGCTACAGCCTTGTGTAAGGAGCATGCCTGGCCACAGGGGAAGAGCTTGGTGTCATGGGCACAGTGGCATGAGGTGGTGGTATCCTGACAGCCTGCGCTGTGCATGCACGTGGAGCTAAATGTGGGAGATGGGCTAGAGTCTGCCAGGGGCTGAGAGAGCCTTTCTGAGTAGTGGAGATTTATGGGGTTGTGGGGGAGGAAACAGGCTGGGGAGCAAGATTTAGGTTTTGGTCTTTGGAAAAAGCAGGGAGCCATAACGAACCCTGCAAAGTGCCACCCTGGGGCAGCCAGTGGGGCCAGGCACAGCTGAAGTTGGGGTGTTGAGGAGAGTGGTACCTGCTTGGCAATGCAGTGTCGGTGCAGCCACATGAATGCATCCCAGATGGTGCTGCCTGAATTGCTCAGCAGGCTCAGAGTGAATCATCTTGGGGGGTGTTAGAAGTGGGACAAGGCTGTGTGTGCATGTGGGTCTTGTCTGACATGAGTGAGCCTGCAGGCCTGGCATGTGGTAAAGCTGTGCCATGTTTGAGCCAGGCTCTGGGGGTGCCAGTCCCATTTGTGCTGGTGCCTGGTGCAGGTCGGCAGCTTGGTTGTGTGTTGAGCTTGCACCAGGCAGGAGGGAGGGTCAGTCTGGATGAGCCAGGCTGTGGGGTGGGGATGTCCTTGACTTAATGGTCATCATGTCCTATGGAGAACCAGAGTGAGGGGGGGCCATGTAGTAAGCAGTCAGCTTGCTCTGGGCCAGGTTAAATCCTCGGTGCAAGAGGGTGTTTGGAGCCAAGCCCAGTTCCCAGCCACTCAGCTGCAGCATGCCGGAGCCCTAACAGTGCCACTCAGCCATCACCCCGGCTTGTGTCTCTGTGTCCAGGATGGCAGTGGCACCCTCCAGCGCAGCAGCTCTCTGGGGAAAATCCGGGATGTGATCCGGAGGAGCAGTGAGATGTTGGTTAAGAAACTGCAGGGCAATGGTCCCCTGGAGCCCAGGAACACCAGGTAAGGACCAGGGCTATGAGGGCAACACTGGGTGCAGGGCAGATGGAGGGGGGGGCTGCCCTGAAACGGGGTCAGGGTCTGGACAGGCACAGCAAGAGCACACCTGCTCTCCTCTGCTTTCTTGTAGCATGAAGCGAGCTGCATCACTAAATTACCTGCACAAGTCTAGCGATGCTTCATTTGAGGTAAGCACCCTGTGCGTGGCGGGGCTGGTGGGGGCTGGAGCCGCGGCCAGTGACAGAGGCTGGGGGTGGCCACGCGTCTGGTGCCGGGGGCCTCTCAGAAGGCGTTAATCCCTGCAGCAGTGCGTGGAGCTGGAGCCTCTCTGCCTTCCCGTGGCGGGGCTGAGCCCACCCTGCAGCCCCCGGCCAGCTGCCGTGGCTCCACACCGGAGGTGTTGCCTCCATGGAGACGCCTTCCTACCTACCGAGCTCGACCGGCTCGGAGCGGGAAGGGCAGAGGTGTCCCTTAGTGTGGCTGGTGGGAGCCCTGCGGTGCGGGCGGCGGGGCTGTCAGCTTTGGGGCGCGGGTTGCGGGTGCCGGTGCTCACAGGCGCTGTGTTTTGCAGGGCGCCCCGGGGCTCCGCGCAGAGAGCAGGGGCCTGAGCGCCAGCAGCACGGACCTGTCCTCCCACAGCTCCCTGCTCTCCTCCAACTGAGCACCGAGCCCGCCTCGCCCCGCTCCGCCGCGCTCTGGTCCCCGGCCCGCCGCCCGCACGCATGCTCTTGTGCGGCACCGCCGGCAGGGGGCGCGCTCGCAGGCGGCTTGGGCGGCAGTGTCGAGGGCCGGCCCCGGTGGTACCGGGGCAGGGGTGTGCGGAGGCGGGCGGCGGGCGGGAGCGGAGCGGCGGGGCCAAGCTGTGCGGGAGCTGATCAAATAAAACCGACCCCACAACCGAGCGCGGCTCCGGCACTGCGGGAGGGCGGGCACTGGGGCGGGAGGGTGCCTTCTGCCGGCAGAACAGCGGCAGGGCGGGAGGGGAGGGGCGTCTGCGTGACGACAGCTGTGACGCAGGCCGGGGGCGGGGTGCTGGCGGGCGCGGGAAGGGTGGGGGGGTGATGGCGCGCATCACGCTGGAGGACCTGGAGGGGCTGGGTGAGGAGGCCGGCGGTGGGGACGGGGACGACGAGGAGGAAGAGGAGGAGGAGGAGCGGGAGCGGCTGTTCGCGCACTGGGAGGCCGTAGCCAGCACGCACCGAGTGACCCTGCCCCGAGGTGAGCGGGGGCCCTGCCGCGGGTGAGAGCGGCCTCGGGGCCGGCGGCACGTCCCGCGCCTGGCGCGGTGCGCCGCGGGGCTGTCCCCGTGCTCTCCAGCCCGGGCGAGCCGCGGCCCCTCTGTGCTTTGCCTTGCAGACATGGCGGGGCCGATCGTGCAGATGACCCGGCACGGCCAGGCTCGCGAGCCCGTGCCCTACGTTACCCTGCCGCGGCGGGAGGAGGTGAGGCCCGCGCCTGCCCGCAGCCGGGCCCGGCCCGCGGGGAGGCCGGTGCCGGTGCTGCCGCCAGCCTGGGCAGCAGCGGGAGCTGGAAGTGCCCAAGGCCAGGTTGGACGGGGCTTGGAGCAACCTGCTCTAGCGGAAGGTGTCCCTGCCCACGGCAGGGGGTTGGAACTGGATGAGCTTTAAGGTCTCCTCCAACCCAAAGCAGTCTGTGGCTCTATGAACTTTCCAGCCTTTACTTTAGAATCGGACTAGTCTTGCTGCTCTCGCATTTTCTCCTCGTTTATTCTCTGCTGAGGTGGACACGTGCAAGACAGTGAATTTGCAGTTTGGAGTCTGCGCCCTGCCTTGTTCAAAACACCTCGTTGCATAGCTCTGAGCCCTGCTGGGTGTCTCTTTGTGCTAGTTACCTGGCTACCTGTTTAGCTAGAGGGTGCTCCTGTGGGGAGCTGTCAGACCTGAGCATGTGCTGGTGTTTGCCTCAGCTGCCAAGCCGAGCACGGTAGCTTCTGCTTGAAGGCCTCCTGTTCTTGCTGGCTACGTTGCACAGCTCCTGTTACCCCTCACACAAAAGGGTGTTTCTGAGCCTTGCGCAATAGCTGTGAAGAAGCACTTGTCAGACTGGTTCACGTGTCTCTGCAGGCTTGGTTGGGCTAGCTACCAAGAAGACATTTGTCAACTGTCCTGTACACGAGGAGAGCTTAACCAGTTTCTTCTGGGCTGAGGTCCAGCACTCCTGCCTGTAAAACACGCCTGAGCATGTGGGTTGTACAGCTCTGAGCTGGGGCTCCACCACACTCCCTCTGGCGTCTGGGTCTCAGGGACTTAGTCTGAGCTCTTCTCTACCTTTACCCCACAACTGTGGGGCCTGAAGATCTTCCATTGACGGTGACATCCTCTCTGTGCGTGAGGAAGGTTCTTGGAGTTTGACTGTGGGGCTGGGTGAGGAGATGGAAGCCACTTCCAGGCATTAGTGCTGAGGAGACTCTGGAGTTGGGGAGCTTAAGGACGTGTTCCCCAGGCTCAGGCAGGTCAGTTTTACTTGGTTGCTCCTCCCTCAGCCTTCAGTGCCACAAGCCCTCGGCCTTCTGGAGGCACCTGCAGAGCCTTGCTCTGTCAGTACTCGCCCAAATTCCCCAGCTCACATTGCAGGGACCCA